CCCCTATTTCCAGGAAAAACGCCTAAAATATCCGTAATAAATCCTCAACCATTGAGCCTAGATGCATAATTCTGGTCTCCTTTGATAGGTCAGAAGCCAAGGATTATGAATCAACTATTTTTCTATTAAAGAGTAAATGGAGATGCAATAAAGGAAAATAAGATATTTTCATCCTCGCCATCCTTGGCCATATTTACTGTTTATATGTTCACTTTTATTGGAGTTTTTTTCAAAACACTATTTCTGTCTATACAACCATGTTCCAAATAACATAAAGCTTCCAAAACATTGAAATATTGATAGAAACAGTGAATATTGATCAACATTCCAAAAGCACTCCCATGCTTTACAGACTCACAACTTGAGTACAGAACTTATTTATTTTTAATATTGCTTTCTGTTCCTTAACACTAAATGTTGTCTGTCTAAACCTGTATCCACTCCACCCCTTACCCTCAAGAGGCTTCTCACCTCGTGCCAGGTGTCCTTGTAAATAAGCTGTTCTGCCTGGTTTAATAAAGGTTTTTAAAAATAAATAAATGAATAAAATAAAAAATAAAACTGGCAACCTGTCCAGGGTGTACCCCGCCTTTCGCCCGATGTCAGCTGGGATTGGCTCCAACCCCCCGCGACCCTGTACGCAGGATAAGCGGTTGACGATGGATGGATGGATGGAGTTACACAGCTGATCACAACTTGAGCTGAGCGTCTGGCCAGACGGCAGTGTAGGATGAGATGAGAGATATTTGGATGGCAATAACTGCAGCCATGTACAGTGATTACAGAGTGATTAATGTTGTGATATAAGTTCATTTACATGCTTGGTATTTGTGTGTTTGGTATGGATAAAAATGGTTGGTTTGATGTTCTGGCTGAGCCTTCTAGCTTCACGGAGGTGTGTGGCGTGCATAGGGTGACAAAATATTAGGATTGGACCAAGTTGGAAGCTTCCGGTCAGCAATCTGATAGGAACGCGGAAGTCCCTCAGACCTTCATTATATCGAACGGCCATGGGGGCGACTCTTCTGGTTGCAAAATAAAGTCCGGCTCAATTAGAAATAATGGTAAAATGACCCTACTTCTCAGCTGAATAATTACCTCAGTAAACACTTTCATAATGAGTTTATGGTCTCAGTCGCTAGTTTCAAGTCTTCTTTAACACAAAATGATGTTGATTAAGTAAATAATGGTCCCATTTATTTAAAAATGGACCATAAAGCAAAGTATGTTTCAGGGCGGGATTATCTATGATTGACAAGCTGTTACCATGGCGACCTGTCAATCAGGCTAGAGCCGACTCCTACTCTCGGCACTGTGTAAATTAAACCACAGCTGTTGAAAAAGCTTATTAGGAGTTGGCTGTTCACTTTCTCTGGTGAGAATTACATTTAGTTTTAAGACTGTTTGCTAGACAAAGTTATCAGCCGTGTTAAAATGACAGTTAACGTGAGTTACAGATGCGCCTAGCTAAGCAAGCTAGCTATAGCTCCGCACATGGCCGACGCTGTATCGTCACTTACTGGTTGTAAAAACTCAACATGGTGGTGACCTATCGGCCAAACTCGAGGCTTCAAAACGGCAGTCCACAAACCAACGGGTGACGTCACGATGACTACGTCCATTTCTTATATACAGTGTATGGATCAGACATGGATTTCCCATTTGCATTTTGAGGCGAAAATCGAATATTCCTGCCACACGCTGATAAAAATATACAACTAGATAAGAATACATTTTCTGTAGAAATTCAGATGTGCTTGCTACCTTTTTCTGGCTCATCTCCCAAGAATGGATGAAATTGGTACAAGAAGTAAAAAAGATTACAAGCTAACAAGGCAGAAATGGGCATGACTGATTGGGTTGGGGAATAGACTGTCTTGAAAAAATCCAATAATGTTAAAGGTATAATGAAATATATATATATATATATTAGAAGCAAATACCAATGGCAGACCAATGTACAGTGGAGTGTCCAAACAGGTTGAGGAAAGGTTCAAGTTAAAATGAAGTGGACTCAAGTAACTATTGAGCAATGCTCGATCATTATGGGTGAAGCACAAATTGAGCCGGCACTGCAAGCCTAATCATGCCACTGAGTGGGTACAAATTGGATCTATTAATTTAAAGAGAAGCAAAAAATTTCATTATATTTAATATTTTTATATTTTGCACAGTGGCTACCAATTTCCCTGAAATTTGAATCATATTTTAAGATGATAGCAGATCTGGTATATTTATTGGATATTAAAGTCTGCTCTTGGGTATGTAAATATGTGCTTTTCTAGCAGTAGAATCCCTACTGTGTGGTGGATTAGGGTTATTCTGTTCAACCGACTCTTTGAACTATTGACTATAGTGGGGATCCAGTGAGTTGTCAGAAGAGAGAGGAAATAAGGGGAGGTGAAAGTGAAAACTGGAGGGAAGAACACAGTAGGGGGAGCGACAAAAAGAGAAAATGAAGAAAAAGTACTTTTCCATCCTTGGTGATGTCATTTGTGCCCAAAGTGTTTTAAAGTAATCCATGAAAAAAATCAAATGAAACGAAAATGACAGGAAATAATGGAGGATAGGCTAGTGGTGAAGAAAGCAGCTTGGAATGAGCGCAAGAGGGGAAGATGGCTTTGTGAATAGAAATAGGGGGAAAAAGATGCAAAAGAGGGGGATAAAAATGTGGCAGCGAGGAGATAAAGAGTGAGTCTCAGAAATGGAGAGCAGAAGTTTGTAATTATAAAGAGGGAGAGAGAACAAATGAATCAGCATTGCTACAGTTGAATAATGCAACGGGGAGCTTGCAAACATACAGAGGACACAAGGGGTGTATTTCAAGCAGTGCTAGCTTGCAGGGACACAGAGAAAGAGATACAGGTTCAGCTAGAACATCTGTGGCTTATGGAAATGGCTCATTTTCAAAAGAGAACTTCTGGTGAAAATGCTACTTTACTTGATGCTGCATTTGAATCATCTCGCTGGGCTTTAAGAAACAACACCTTCTCTCAACCTTTAGGTTTCCTGTGTACACGCCAAGATACCCACAGAGTCTTACCTTTCTCTCTTTGTCTCTGACTGTGTATTCCCACCCTCGCTTTGTAGACTAAAATTTATTATGACGGGAAGACGAACTGACGTTGAGAATGAGAGCAAAACAAGACTGAAAGGTTCAAAACAGTCTGTAAAGTTAACTTTGGAAGGCCAGCTTCTCCAGGGGAAAAAACACATGATTTGTTATTCTTGTCCCGCCTATTCTCTGCAACAAAAAAGGGCTTCTGTTTGGAGATTTATTTTCTTTTACAAGTATTGAATGCCATACCATTTTAAAAAGAAAAAAGTGTCATTTTTTAATTTGCACCAGTAAAGTATTTTTGAATGTCACATCCACTTGATGAATACAAATGTATTTCTCAACACATGGAATGGTGCAACAAAAGTCAATTTCTTTATAAATGTTGAGGGTCAAAGAAAAGGTGAGAACAAAAGACGCAAAGTACATTAGAGGAGGTAGATTATATCCCCAAAGGCTTTTATTGTGTTTATGCTTTCTTTGAAGCTGTTTTGATTAACTATACTACAGTGTGAAGGACAGAATATGTACAGAATGTGCCTTAAAGACCATTAACTTTCAACCCTATGAAATAATGTAGACATAGCCGTTGTTTAAATGTTTGGGTTTAAATATAGTAGCACTAAAAATAGGACTGAGCAATGCATTAAAGGTCATTGTCATGCACTTAAAATCAGTTATATAAATACTTTCAATGAAGTTTGTGAAAAATTAAAGAAACAATGATACAAAAAGTAAGATTCTGGAAAATAGAGAATATTTAACACCTTTAAGACCTTAATCTTTGCGTTTGTGTGAAAATAAAATCTCAAAGAAGCATCCAATTTGTTATCCTTCTGTCCATCCTATCACATCAAACCGCTTTTCTGTCTTTATTGATATTGTATTGGTTTACATTAAGATTGATCGCTCATGGCTTATGGCCCTCCCTAATATCAACAACATATCAGTTTCAACAGGAATTAAACCATAGTAAGGGTCCAGTGGTGCCAGAATGTATTCTGTAACAGTAAAATGTTGGATCAAAATGTGTTCATATCAGTGGAGTCCTCTTTGGAGTGGCAGTTAATATGTGTGGTGCTTTAATGAACTTTGATGATCGAGAGTCAGAACTGAGAAACGGGCTTTATTGCCAGGTAGTTTTTGGACATACAAGAAATTTGCATTGGTGACTAGGGGCGTAACAGTAGACATAAATATAAAACCATGAAATTAACAAAATATACAAGTTAGAAGACTGTGTGCCAATAGAGTTTTTCTCTTCTACATCACACAATTTCCACTTATTTTGAGTCTCTTCAGACCAAAACAAAACACTGAAGGTAATTTTATTTAATGTCTAAAATGACCTCTGTGTATGTACAATTGACCTGCGACGACTTGTATCTCTATACCAAATTGCAAAGGACAGTATTCGTTATGGCTCATGATCCTCTTCTGGAGGATCATGAGGTGAAAGATCAGGTGTACAAAGTGTCTTACTACTGTGACACTGGCGATTACAACCACCCCATTTCCTGCCAAGTCATTGTTGACCGTGTTTTATTCCTAACCCGAGCCGAGTAGTTTATTTGACCCGACCAACCTTAACTGTAGCATTGGCAGATCAGAAAAGGCTTATATGAATCATTTTTCGTAACGGTCATTTGTAACAGTTTTTGAAAGGCACTGACAAACATTTGCAAACAGTTTTTGTTGTGCCACTTTCTGGTCTGACTGGGAACTAAAGAGGATAATTGTTTGTGTGAATAATTATCAAAGATAGAAAAAGTCTTACTACAAATTTTGTACTCTAGTATAATGGTAGTTATTTTTGTTTTTCAATTTGTAAACAAAACCAGGAACCTAACACACTCATGTATTCAACTAACTTTAGTCTCTCTTCCTTCTCTCCTTTTTTCTCTCTTCCTCTATCTCTGCCTGTCTCACATCTCTTCTACAGCCCAGAACTGTTCAGGTCTGAGGACATGTGCCGAGTGTTTGGAGAGGGCGGAGTGCGGTTGGTGTGGTGATCCCAGTAACACCGGCAAGGGTGTTTGCATGGAAGGCTCTTACAGAGGCCCCCTGAAGCCTGCTATTGCCAGGGCTGGGCCCCGAGACCGAGACAGACTACGAGACCGGGACATGGTGCTGGACCAGAGTCTCTGTTCGTCTGATAGAGGCTACAACTGGGCCTTCATCCAGTGTCCTGGTCAGTGACCCGCTTGCTCAGATTCAAGTGACTGTATTATATTGTTTACATTTGATACTCTGTGACAGAAGTTGACCTGAATATAATAAGACTCGATTTACACCTGGTTTTAAAATGTGATCTGTATCCAGAGACATTATCTGGATAATCAGTGACCCGATCTTGCCTTTGTTACACCTGGTACTTTTAATGTGTTCTTATTATCCTCTTTGAGATCTTCTCCTTCAGAGCAAAACTTGTGCATAAGTAATTTAATGTTGCGGTAAATCCGTCCCAGACTCCCTTAAAGAAAAACTTACTTACTTGTATATCATTCATGTCCCACCCATATTGCTTTCATTTTCATGCACTTACAGCTAGATGTACCTGATAAATTAGCATCTAATTGTATCCTATCCTGTGTTTGTGTAATTTCCTCGCAGCGTGTCAGTGTAATGGTCACAGCAGGTGTGTGAACGGCAGTGTGTGTGAGCACTGTGGGAACCTGACAGCAGGGACGCACTGTCAGAGCTGTATGCCCGGCTACTATGGCGACCCTATCAACGGAGGGAAATGCAACGGTGAGTACAAAGGTCACAGGGGGTTTACTATGTTTTTATTTTTGGTTTGCGCATCAGAAAAAATAAGTATTTTCTATGTCTTATTTTTTGTCTTATAATTGGCACTGCGCTCAAATCACCTTGATAGTATTTTGTTTTTCTCTTCTACTGCAAAAACCTTTTTCAAAATAGAGACCCTCATTTTCAAAAAGAATTTCTAGAAACAAGTTAATTTCTCTGGGAAATAAGTTTTCTTTCTTAGTTGTCTCCAAGAAAATAAAGTTTTGACTGTTCATTTATACACAGAAATAACTAAAGGGAAGTATTCCCCCCTTTTTAATGTTGCCTTCACATCTTGCTCTGAATTGCTTTTAAAGAACTCATGAGCCCTTTCATTAAAAACACAACTGGAAGCTGCCCCCAGCAGTCTACTGTACAACACTGTAATATACAGAAACAACCTGATGGGGGCAGTGTTTAAAAGCTGTGAGCGTGGGCTTTGGATTCTCTTGAGCTCGTGGTGACCACCAGAGCACTGGAGCAGTGAAAGGGGAAACTACACGTGTAATTTGGACAGGATTGTGGTCTGAAGACATTGTGGGAACAGCACTAGCAGATTACTTGATTCTCTGCATCCATTTCTTTTTAGATTCTAGTGAACAACAGAGATGTTACACTCTGGGAAAGGTGGTGATGATATAGGCAAACACTCACAGAGATGCACACGTGGTTTCAAGCGCATCCATAATTTTCTGCTTGAAATCCATCAGTCAGCAGTTTTTCCCATGCTTTTGTTTTGCTTCATATGGGAATAATCATAGCAAATCCCATAGCTGAAATTGTTAACAACAGATTATGTGTGTGAGTTAGATGATAGGAAGCAGAAGCCACAGGAAATGGGTGTGTATACATGTGATTTGGAGGCTCATGGGGGCTGGGTTTGCTAGGGTATATGATATGGGCCTGGATGGGGAAAAAAACATCAGAGATGGGAGAGTGTAATGAATGAATGAGTGACTGCCAGAGTGTGAGTGAGGGAGGGTAGAAGTGAGAGGGAGGTGCAGTAACATCAGTCTCCCTGTGACAGATGTGCGTTTTGGCTTGGCGGCGGTGTGACATTAAATCGCTCTTAATCATTTTCTTATTTCCTGAGTTGACTGGTGTCTCCGTCCCTGGCGGCTTTTCGCAGCGAGCGCGGAGCTGATAGATGCACGCCTCTCGTCGCCTCCGTGCAGGACAGCCTCCGATGCACTTTCTCTTCTACTTTTGCCGTCTTTGCTATTTTTTTTTTTTGTCACTTCATCCTCTGTCTCTGCGTCTTTTTGTCGTGTCTTACGCTCTCCTTAACATCACGTTATCCCTGCTGTTACTTTTCCTCCCCGCTTTTCCTGGTTTGGTCTACTTTCCTTTCCATTTATCACCTCTCCTCTCCAATAATGTGCTGGTTAAACTGGACTCATCCATCCATATCCACCTTCTTTTACCTTCATACACCCATCCCTTCATTCTCCCTTCCTTTACTTCCTCTACGCCTCTGTCATTCCCTCTTATAGCTTACAATAACTCTCCGTCTTAAATTCCCCCCACTGTTCATCCTTCCATTCATCCTTCTTCCTATCTCCATCCCCCTCTATCTCTCTTTATGAAAAGGACCACTCGATTTACCTTGGGCTAAGCTGCTGGGAGGCAATGATGTGGGGCCGATTAGAGGGCTGAATGATATAAAGACAGCTTCGTCCCTACCAGGGAGGGGAATAGGCCTCAACTCATAGGATTGTAAAGTGGATGGAAGGGTGAACGAGGCGGTGACGTAGGGAAAAGGGGGAGACATTGTAAGAGAAGAGGAAGCAGACAGAAAGAAAAAGAGATAAAACCATGTGCTGAGATATACAAGGTTAATATCGGTGGAAAAGGACAGTTGTCCTTGGATAGAGAGACGATGAAGGAATAAAGGAGGAGATAGAGGGATAAATAAAGAGGGAGAGATGGAGGACAGACAGAGGAGAGGGGAGTCTGTCCGTTCCCCTGTCCCTGTGACAGATGATTAACTAACCTTGTCAAATCTGGATGATGTGTGTGTGTGTGTGTGTGTGTGTAGGGCATTTGTGGCCCTTTTATCTGACTGTACCATTCACCTTGTCCTGCGCACATACAAAATCAAACGCACTGACTCACGTCAACCTTCACAGCTGCAGCTGACAACATGTTGGGTGTCTGTTTAGACTTTTAGTTCCTCAGAGGAATACATGAATCGTAGAGGCTGACAGGAAACCTGCATATTTTTATGCACTCCCCGGGAGTCTTTGTTCTACTGATTTCTTGTCTGGTTTTTATTACAGCGAGAGACAGACTGATGTTTTCTAAACATTTTTTTGTTATGCCAGAGTGTACTTGCTTGCTTTTCAGTAGAAACATCCACACCTTGTGTCACTGGGTGCGCACCAAAAGCTGACCAAACAAGCGAATTTAGACCTCCTTTTTAAGAGGTGGTCTCGGTACGCTTTCAAACGAACTCTGGTGCATTTTTGTGCATGTAATAGGTTTGCAAAGGAATCTCCCACAGAAAACACTGCTCTGAACTGCCTGAAAACAGCTGGCTTGTAGTCCAGCCTTTTCCCTTTGGTCCCTGTGATGACACATCAAAATGTGCGTCATGATGCTCGCCAACATGCCTAACACGCCCACAAAAACACCGGTGGAAAAACACACTGAGCTGCAGCACACAGTGACAAGATGTCCGCCTGCTGCCTCTCCTCTCCCTTCCAAACACCAGCTACCCTCCAGGCAGTCAGTGGACATAAATTTGTTACTGTGATGTAGAGACAGAGCTCAGATAAAAATTTTATGGATGAAAGATACTTTTGTTACAGATTAATAACTCGCCACTCTGAAACTCTTGCTCCAGTCTATGTTACCAAGCTGGTCGGCAACATGTACAGCTGAACCGAAGCCGTGTTTACCAGCTTCTCACGACCCGCCCTTCTCTCCTTCTGATTGGCTAGTAGTCCTTAACTAGCAAGTGTGCGTGTGCAGCTCCCAACAAAGATCATTTAGAGACAAGATATCACTCCATAGATAAAACGAAGCCAATGACAAAAAATATGGTGTTTTTTTGAAAATGAAACCATGTAAACCTGTTCTGGTACAACCCCTAAATGAGATTTTGCACCTGAAAATGAGCATAATATGACTACTTAAAAAAGGCTACTCTGTTTACCCAAGTCCATAAATCATTTGTGACAGCAAAATAACAGTATACTATAGGCTAATAAGTATTATTACTGAACTACCTGTCATGTTTTTACATTATTCATAATAGGTTATGCTTATAATTATTACTTAGTGAGCTCTTTGTGATACAGATCAGCATAAGTCAGCCACCGGAGTTTCCTCACGTGGGTCCTGATGTTGCAGGATGAACAAAAACGCCATGTTAATAGTCCTTATATTTAAGTAACTGTTCCTCTCAAACTATTTATAAAGCCAAGACTGTTTTATTGAATGGGGCACTTCATAAGTTGGGTCCCTCCCCCAGAAGATTTTTCTGAAGAAGAAATTTCTGCCTTTTCTGCACCAATTTATGGTGGAAATGTTTTATATAAAGGGAAACACAAAATTGAGGTCTTTATTGCTTTTAAATATGTTTCTCAGGAAGATAATATAATATCATCCCTGCTGAGTTAACACACACGATTTAGTCTTCCCTCCTCTTTTATGTATTTTGTTTGGGGAATTTAACCTCTATAAATTAGTTTGAGGCACATTTTCACCTCAGTGATAAATTAATTCATTTTAATTCAGTTATTGATTGTATTTTAATAGCTCATCTGTTTTAGCAGGTTTTCTGCACATTCAGAATGTCTTCCACATTTCTGTGATCTGATATGTCGAGATAAAAGTCGTAATATTATTACAAGACAAACGTTATCATTTAATGAGAATTTAGCTTCGCTAGTAGTATCCCTCCGACCGTCTGACAGACACAGAACTGGATGAGATGAGGAGGTGCTCATGCAGCAGGAAAACAAAACTAACAAACAGCAAGTTTTCGACTCAGATTTTAACATTCTATGTTTATGTCCGCTCGAGCACAGAGTGGCTGCAACTGGCTGCGTCCACTTCACGGCACTCGCTGGTGTCGTCTCAGGTGCTGGATGCTGGACGAAGTTGCTTTCAGGAGAAGTCCGACAGCCGACTATCCCTCTTGTAAATGTGTAACCGCTGCGATAATGAGGAGTTCAACATGTATTCCTCAGACATAAACGCTTTTCCACTGTAATATCAAGAAAGAGAGCGTCCAATTTTCCAGAGTTTACGCTGTAAACACCATGTGTGTGAAACTTTACAGATGATATTCTAACTTCCAGTTCCCGTGAAGGCAGCACGGAGCCACACCACAAGTAGCTGACAGAAAAATACACTCTCACCCTGTTGCAGTGGGGTAAACTTGAAT